TCATCATCATTTAAATATAAGGATTTGTACATAGTTCATATTATAAAGGGATTCCTATGCAACATCCGTCAGCAAGATCGTCAAATTCAGGGAAAGCTATTCCTTCATTTTCAAATGAGCATGATAAAGATTCAGAATCATAACAAAATTCAGGATATTGAATTTTACTATAGCAAGCATTTTCAAAAAAATCACAACCTTTATCTTTTCCCCATAAAATTTATTCAGACATATTATCATTTACTTCAGGATAAAAGCCTGTGTCTTTCAAAACAGCAATTGTAAATACAGAAATAACTCTATTAACAGTTGCTGGAGATCCGTTCATTAATTCATTAAAAATTATAGTTTTTTCCCAATGAGCACCTTATGTGCCTTAACCACCCTATTATAAAATAATATAAATTATAAAATATATATGTATATATAAATTTATATAAATATATATATATATATATATATATATATATATATATATATATATATATATTATATATATATTTAGTTTTTTTATACTTAATTTTCTATTTGCATACCTTCTGCTGTTGGACAATTATAATATTTTCTAGTAACTTCGACAACATTTTTAGAAGTTAAAAAAACTGTTTTTATTTTTCTTATTGTTTTTTCTATTTATAAATCTTTCTTATATTCTTTTCCATACCTTTTATTAGTTTTTGGATTCATCCAATAATACATTGCGTTTGCCGAAAACCCTACTATATGTATTATTTCATGAATAGTTATTTCTAAATCATTATTAAAAACTACTGGATTATCATCTTATTCAAACATATTATATATGTTAAAACTAACTTAACCAAAAATCGGTCTTGCTATATCATTTACTGCTAAAGCACAATAAACGGCATCAGCCTTAAATCCTTTTTTTTAATTTTCATATATAATGTGTAAGTGTAAATCTGAATTAGGAATTCCTTCTGTCATATATTTTTCAGGAATTTTAGTTCCTAAACAGTCTTTTGGCCAGCCTGAAGGATAAATGTTATTTCCTTTTATTTAGTATACTTTTAAAAGATTTTAGAAAAAAATTTTGGCTGTTTCTATAATCCTTATTAAGTAATTTTTTATTTTTTGGTTTATTCCTAAATTTATTTGATCTATCATTGAATAATCTACAGTTATTCTTATAGGCTTTGCCTTGCTACCTGTTTAAAGTATACGTTAGTTAGGGTTAAATTCGATCATTTTTTCGTAATTTTCCTGCAATTTCTAGTAGTGATCTTGTATTTTTTTAGTTTCATGACTGCAAATATGGTGAGAACGGGTTAATGCACCTATAATTAATATCGCAATTAAAAGATATATTTTAATCATAAAATTTTTAATTGTTAATTTATTAATTTAATATTATTTATATAATTATATAAATTATTAAGTAAAAATATTATAATATATATTTTATTTGCTTTTTAGATTTAAAGATAAAGAAAAATAAAATATTTGTTTTTATTAAATTTTATTGAATTTTATTTATATAATTATTTTAAAAAAAAGTAAATTAATAAAAAAATTATAGTAATAATATAAAATAATTAATTAAAAATAAATATAAATTATTAAAATTTTATTTTAATATATTATTAAATTTATCAAAAAATAATGATAGTATAAAAATTTAAAATATAATTTAAAAATTTTTAATTTAAAAATTTAATTTTTTTTTTTTTTAGCAAATATTATAATATAAAATAAAAATGAATTATTAAGATAAGCATATATTTGTAAAAAAAAATTAATTATTATATAAATATATATTTTTATAAAAAATTTAATTTTTATTTATTAATAAAAACAGAAAATAATAAATATTTTATAAATTATTAGAGATAGAAAATAATAATTTAAATAATAAAAAAAAAGATTTGATTGTGATTTTATTTTGAAAAATATAAATTATTTATTTTATAAAAACAAATAAATAAATATTTATTAAAAATATATTTATAATAAGGTAAATAATAATTGCTAAGTAAATTATATAAATATTTATAAACTTATATTTATAAAATTTTAAAAATGTTACTAATGTTGATATTTTTTTTAAAGATATTATTAAAAAAAATTTTGATATATAAATAAATATATAAAAAAAAATATATTTATAAATAAAAATTATATTATAAATA